CCATGGACACACACATAGACAACCATAAATTACACCTAAATTCACGAGTGAAGTAAATGTAGACCATACAAATATTTCTCCTGGCCGGGGAATCGAATCCCGGACCTCTGCGTGGTAGTCCATTATGGGAACCGTTCGGCCACGGAGGCAGTTGAATTTGGTCTAGAACTAAGGATATAATGACAATGCGATTTGATAGTTTCGAACGGACCGTTTGACAGTATCGAATGGGCCCATCTATTGTTAACGAACTTCGAGAGTAGTCCCGTAAGTCATCCATAGTGGGAAAACGGCCGTAACTAGGGATTATACCCCAGCCCTTATGGCGTCGTAACTCCCGTGGCCACCCACAAAACTGATGATAATCAACAAAGAAATCAGTAAGAAACAAAAACGTTTTAGCGGTACAAAGTAATTACGGAATCATTGACAGTCAGTAGATAACCTTAAATAATGTCTTCTTTGATAATACTTCTTTGTGTTAATAATTTTGTGATGCAAATTGCATTCCAGGAAACTTTAATTGAAATTTGATGGCAATATTCTAATTGGTGTTACATCAACTATTTTTAATTAATTTTTATCGCAATATGTGCACACGGCAGTGTGTCAGACAACGTTCGAAAACAAAAGGCGGCACACTGACAGCGTGTTTTATCACGAAAAATTAATAAGAATAATATTTTTTTATATATAATACTAAGTGACGGGGCGAACAAGCAGTTGCAGTGCAGTTAATATTTATTAATTAATGTCAATTGAGAATAAAAGGGTTTCACTGACGCTTTATGGCTTTATTTGCGTATCAGCCAAGTTAATGTAAGACGCTTTAAAGCGTCCACGGCGGTCAAAGGTTTAAATCGCAAAGATTTGAAGGGCATTGCCACTGCCCACGTCACCCTTGGATATGTCCAACTTATTATTGTCAGCTATGGTTGACAAGTCCCAAGTGCCTGTAATTTCACCTTAACCTCAAAACCGGAACGCAGTAATGCACACATGACAGGTTGTCGGCATAAACAGGTAAGGTGACAGTACTTCCTTGGACGAACTCTTTTACAAGGACCTGCTGCAAAAAAATATAATATATAATAATAATAATAATTTACTATAAAACAACACCAATGGCCAGATCTCGAAATTAAAGACTTAACCACTGGCTGGCATCAATTGCATACTTAAACATATTGTTTTCATACCTATGTAGGTATGACATATAGTTTATACGTAAGTCCCATAAAGTTATCCCACAAGAATGCGCATGTGAAAAAATAGGGCCAAGTCTGAGAATATCAAGTATACAACCAGAAATAGAGACAAAATAAAGGCCATCCATCCCTGGCAACTCATCAGGCAAATGGGCCTTATATCACTTTTAAGTATCAATTTTCGTTTGCGCTGAAATCACAAATTAGAAAACTGAAATAGTACTGCGCCTACAACTGACCTGTGTGTACGTTTCCGTATATTCCAAAAATATTCTGTATTTATTGTAATAAAGATAATATATTTAACAATAGGGGCTGTTCCATTCGGTGGTGCGGGAACAGTAAAACATCTAATTACAAAACATCTAATTACATCACATTTCATCGGTAATTAAATATGTAATTTTGTAATATTAGTCCATTACAGCAAAGCTCAAGTCAAACTAGACGATTTGAAGTGAAACAATTGACTACACCCGTCAATTGTTTCGAATTCGGGCTAGCCAATCGGAGCGCAGTTGTCACAGTAATGATTTGGCAGAATAGTTTTCAAACAAATTAAATGATATTTTGTCTTTATTCTGGTTATATAGTCGATGTCTGAGAACGATGAGCAAGTGGATTTGTAGGCTTAGTCGATAAAAGAATGACATATAAGTGGGTGTCGGCTTCAGGTAAAGTTTCTTGAAAATAATATACAGTGACAATGGGCAAATCTGAAGCAACATATCAAGCATTGGTATGTAATTTATACAAATCCAACAATCTGTTATAAAACATTATCTCTACTCGTAACGAACACCCTAATCGTTTGAAAAATATTACTTGCTTACTACAAGAACCTTAAACTTGGCAATTTTTTTCATAAATGTAATTTATTTATAATAAAATTATGACACAAATCTAAATAAATAGGCAAATTTATTTAGATTACTACATTTTGTACCTATTGTGACAAATGTGATAAAGAACATTAGCTATTAAAATAAATTACAAACGCGTGATAACTTGCAAAATTGAAAATGCTATAGAAAAAAGTCGAAATATTTTTGACGTGCCTCTGAAAAGAAAATAGTAATATTTTTATATATTACCGTCATTACAATGAAGTAATATCACTACATGCAATTAATATCAGTGTTACCTATGAAACATTCGATATTGAGGTCATTGTTCATCTATAATGTCAGAGTTTTATAATTATCACGTAGAGTGATAATAATAGAGCATATTTTAAGATGTGACTCAAAAGAAGTCACAAAGAGGTCACAAATCATCGGAGAACGAACTATTATTAGTGATTAAAATTTAATTACTTCGCTCTAATTATTTTTGCGTTTTAGAATTTGAATATTTTTTTTATAACATCAAGTGATGGGATCCACAAGTCGTGCGCCTGATGGTAAGCTACACCTGTCCATGACAATTAGGCGATTAACACACTGCACCGCGCCTCGCGACGGAGCGCGACACGTGGAATCAAGCGCGCGGTGGCGGAGACGCAGATGTGCGTCAAAGCGCGGTTAAATCTGCGCGGGGGCAGCGGTCTAGCGGCCCAAAGGAGGCAAATGCTGGTAAACTTCCTGGACATACAGGGACTGTTCTGCATGAACACTTTCTTCAAAAAGTCTTGACGGTGTGTGTCAATAGGTTCAATACCGGTAGCGACCACAGACTTGTCAGAGGTACCCTAAATATCGACTTCAAGGTCGAGAGAAGCCGTATGATGAGATCTCTTATTCTTCCAACACTGCTCCAAACCATGCATGGCTCTGAAACGTTCCAGTTGGAACTGAGCAATCGCTTCGCTTTGCTGGAAACCACGGCAAATGTTGACCTTGAAGGTGTGGTAGGGGTAATTCGCGAAGAGGAAATTAGGCACTTCAGAACACAGCGAGGAGCCCGAAAGTCCAAACTCTCGACTGAGACTCCAGAATTGATGAGGACACGACGCGAGATGCCAGAGGAAGCTTCGTCAGAACCATCCGCAAGTCGGTGAGACGCGACCTCCATAGCTTCAATACGCAACTCATATGAGAAGTTATTGAGAGGAATCGGGGGTCGAAAGTCTTTGCAAAAGACTGGGTAGATGTCAACTGACGAAGCTAAATACCTCGGAAGGTAAAACTGTCACATCAGTTCCAGAAATTCTCGCAGAAGTCGAGGACTGTTACAGCAGTCTATATGCCTCGCGTGCTCCAAAGCCACCCATCGCGAACGACCCAAGAGTAACACTTTCACGCCATTTCACAAACGATAGGAGGGCTCTTAAACAGCTTAATAATGGGAAGGCTCTATCTAATAACCTCTGAGCTTCTCAGGGCAGGAGACCCATTGCTCTGAAAGCTCAAGGAGCTATTCAACGCCGTCATGGCCAATGGGACTACCCCGGAGGCGTGAAGCAGCAGCGTGATAGCTTTGTTTTTCAAGAAGAGACGAAATCCGACTCAAATATTGATGTACAACTTTGTAATAAGTCGGTGGTATTGCTTAGCTGTGACTACATAATCTCAGTACAGAGTACTAAAAAAACCGACTTAAAAAGTACATGGAATTACATCTATTTGCTAAGTTTTATTGAAATATCCTTAAATTCGCCACTACACAGGACTTGACACTGGAGATAAAAAAATCTGTTCTCACTACTCAAAGAATATCGAGAGAAAAACGCCTTGAATTGGAGAAATAGCAAAATCAACAAAAGAAGAATCATGAAAATAGGTTCACAAATACCGGAGTTATCGCGTAACATACATACAAAAAAAACATACAGTCGAATTGAGAACGTCATCCTTTTTTGAAGTCGGTTAAAAAAATTGAATCTCTCCAATAAAGTTAACAATTTTTCAATTGCCAACCTCAGCGGTTAGTGCCGTGGGCGCTACACAAGGAGAGTTTGATTCCCGTTAGAACATTTTGCGAAATCAATCTTTTCAAATTAAATGCTCTGTCTGGCACTCAACACAGGGATCTCCTTTGAGTATGAGCCTGACACACTGTTATTACTCTATGTTACTTCAGATTTTCAAATAGGCGTTAAGGAATCCATAAAAAATATTATAAACAGTTTCTTTAACATTTTGAGTTATTCTTAAAGGTGTTCAATCCTCAAATAAAATATAAATTAAATAATCTGCAACAAACACATAGACAAAGTAAAGTCTGCTGTCTCATTCCATAGCTCCGTGGGAGAATGATACCCTTGATTTGGCGAAAAAGTCTATGGTTAGAATCTAGCCGCATCAAAGGAACTGGGCACAGGTCCTTACGTATTTTTGCCGCCAAGCAGTAATATGAAGTTTACCGGTTTGGAAGGGTAAGTAAGGGTATTGGTGAAATTGCAGGGACATAGGATTTGTCAACTTATATTTAAACTTATATTTCAGGGAGACGGGCATAGTGGCGGTGCCCCTAAGATCGATTTGCTCCGAGTGCCACTGAAACTGTTATGGATAGGTGTGTCGCAGTGAAGTAAATTTTCAATGAAAAACAAAGGCTTTGAGTATTGTTTGGTCTTAGCTAGAGTTAATATTAAAACATCTTCAATAAACAAATAACTTTGTTCCAACAACAGTTAAACGTTATGTTTTAAAGTTCCAACATTATAGAAAATCTAAGGAAACGATTCTGTACACCACGCCTAATACATTGTCAAAATTCTTCGTTAAAAATTGTACCTTACGTCATTTATAGAGCGTTAAAATTTACAATGTAAACAAAAAACTTAATGTGCATGGAAGATATTTCAAAATACGAATGTTTAATAAATAAAAATAAAGAAATTAAACAAACCTTGAAGTAAAGAACCAATATAATATGGCGGTGAAGATGGCGAGCTCAGCGGCACCGCTGGCCACCCTCACATGCTCGACCACGGCCCATACGTTTATCATTGTATCCATCTCGGACCACTCGCCGTTGGACCACACGAACCACTGTTCGCACACTACCTCACTTGTCCCATTACACAGAATTTCACTTATATTTAACGGAATTTTTTAATTCTATATGTATGTATAATGTTTTTAATTTTTTTTTTATGTTTTGAATTAATTTTAAGTTTAACTTAAATTTAGAAAGTCATTTGTAGACTTTTCAAGTCTAAAAATTTATTACGTTCTTGATCACGTCTATGGACCTCAAGATCTGAAGTAAATTTTTATGTTATTTGAAAAGAGAAACAAATTCAAATATAAAATAATTATTCACGGGCTATCGATTCCATTGTAAGTCGATTATATAAAATTAGCACCGAATGGAGCGTTCAAACGGAGCGTACCGACTCGACTAAGCACAAAGTCGAAGTGAGTGAAACATGCGATGTAAACAGAAAAGTAAAGCTAGATGCCCCGTGCCCATCTCCACACGGACCAGTCACTAACACTGGCGTGATAGATAACAAACAAAGCACAAGCATAACTACACGTATTGAAACATTAATGCGACCTAATTGATGACCGATAATGTGAACAAAGTTCGTGTGATGAAATGGAAAATTTGCTTTCAACATATGAGGTCTATATGTTCGTTGAAATCGGAGAAGAAATAAATTAAGTGCTTTGAACGTCTCGTCTCTATCGAGTTCTTAGGTTTTTGCGAGTACTACACATTGGAAATGAAACTTTTTTTTTTCAAATCTAAAATCTGTTTGGTTGGCCCAAACCGATTTTGAACGTTTGTCAAAGTCAAAGAATCATTTATTCCATAGGTATAATAAATTTACACTTGAACACGCCACTTTTAAGCTACTGCTCGTTCACTAAGTTGACTTTCCTGAGAAGAACGAGCAAGAAACTCTAGGGATTGCTCTTTTCAAATAAACTTAAGTGCTATGGAATACACTTTGAATCAAATTTGTGTGGAATCTAAAGCCGTGTCGTCTATCCATACATCTTTGTCTAACACGTACTCTTCAATTTTGTAATATAACTTTTCAATTAAAATGTTATGGAAAATATAATGGACGTTGATTTGTTGGAAAAAAATAAACATAGACGATCTTATAATTTTCAATTTTTTTATTATGCAAAATTGGCGGATGACGCCATATCACATATTTCGGTTAACAGTCTAAAGAGAGCGCGAAATCAAAATTTCCTATCGGAAATTGTGCTCTGCAAAAACTACCAATTTAAAGAGTATAAGATGATTAGTAATGCGGAAAGACCGCGCGGAGGCACCGATTTTCAGTCTTGCTTTTATAACAGCGTTTCTACTGATTACTAATTCGAGAGATTAGTGTGAACGGGCAAATTGGTTAGGACCCCGACCGACCAAGGTGAAATTACTACGACTAAATTGAGGACGTCCCAGAGAAAGGCCAGGTCAAAAGTACCCTTAATGGACGAGCATGTACGTAAAGCTCAGATGCGTATTGATGGGGCGAATCCATGGTAGCCTAAAGGTTTGACCCACCGCCTCTCAAACAGAGAGTTCGAATCCTATGAGTTTCCGGTATTTATGTGCGAATTTTTTTTTTTAAATAGTCTATTAGGTGAAGTAAAACATCGTGAGGAAACCTGTACACATCTGCAAAGCAATTTAATGATGTGTGTGAAGTTTCCAACCCGCATTGGGGTCGCTTGGGAACTACTGCCCAAGCTCTCCCATGCTGCAGTGCTGCCACTGAGCCGGAAAGGCAGAACATTCCCGCCGGTCAGCCAGCAGCTTTTGCAATACAAGTAATGTGAAATACGACTATCATAATAATGAATATTCAAAATATAATAACTCTAAATGCAAATGCACTTATGTGGACTTTGTTCCCAGATACACGCGTCACTAATCGAGCATGCACCACAGATAACGCAAGGCATGATTTAACAAAAGTTCAATTAAAATTCTCAAGGCCATTTTTAGCGCTAGGATTCAAATTGTTTTTCACTTTATAACGGCCCCCGAAGAATATATTAAGCAAAAATAAAACTGGTGCATCACGTAATAGAGAAATAATGTTTCGTTTTTATGACCGGCCTACATTAGAGATAAGGGTATTATATTATTGTAGATTATAAAAAACAATAACAACTCTTGATAAAAAGCAAAACAAATAGACGTCAAGAACCTTTAAATTCTTTTTGGATCTATTATAAAAACATCAACAAGAATAATTCATTCATTCAAGAATATCACATTATATGCCACTTTTCCAACAGTTCTAGAAAAGAGTCTTATTAATTTTGTCGATGGGTAAACAGCATAAATATTAATGTCTTTGCACTGTTGGGAAGGGCTCAACCATAAATTGATATTGTCTAAAAACAACGGCATAACGTCGCCTTACTTTCTCAATCTCGTACATTAAAACACAAAGTTACTGAAATGCAAAAAATGGATTGTACATACAAATGTTGCAGTCTGATTTCACATCGCATTTCCTTCACACACTATAGCTTTTACCTATTCTTAAAGTAATGCATCCAAATTGACATCTACGATAAGAAATTTAAAATAAATTGAAAGTTTCGCCATCTCCTGAATAATCACTCTATAATATACCGAGTCTGAGAAAGTAAAATAAGCAATGGTGAATCTCGGTAATAATGAAGGTAAAGCATATCGCTGCCTTTATACAACAAGCGACGAGCGGAGCAAGCTAAATTTTACCGAAAATAAAGTACCCACCTTCTTAATTCAAAAGATGGAGCTTTGTTCACGATAAAGTTTCGCTTGCTTTGCTAGTCCCTAAGTTTCGCTTGCTGTGCTAGTCCCTGTATGCTTAATTAAAAAACGTAGTATTCTGCAATACTGCATTGTTGTATGATAAAGGCAGCAATATATTGTTCTAAACAAAGTAAGAAAGTAAAAAAAAAAAAAAACAATTATCTATTATCGAAAGTCGAACTCATAACGAAATAATTAATTAGGTCACCGGTTTTAATTCTGTTGACCTGAGACCGCCTCGCGTGACATTAACGTTATCAAATAGCCTATTTGCGTATTTTGAATTATTAGCTAATCTAATTCTTAAAGATACAATAATATCGCGAACGCAACAGAATTTTGTAGTAAAATTTAATATAACTTACGCTCGTCAAGAGCACATTACGTAGGCGCCTGTTTTGAACCAATCAACTAACACCACATACGTGTTATTTCACCCCTACCACAATTTAACGAATTTTTTGTATGAACTCAAAAAGGTCAAAAAGGACGTTCACTTTGGAATTGTACTTCTGTAAGAAACCACCACTTTTTAGCGATTAATGGCACTACTCCCGTAAACCAGCAACCTATTGCCAATATATTACAGTCAACTTGAATCGTCTTTTAATTTTACGAGCTCCTCATCATCTTTTACTTCGGTCTGGTGGCTACGCAAACATAATAAACACTTCCATAAAATTATCTTTGTAGTACTCCGAAAACGCCTAAAATCGAAACAGTCGAATTGAATTTTCATACTGCAAAGTGGCTAGGAAAATTGGATGAGGAAGGCACAAGACCAGAAGGAATGACATTGGAAGAGAACTACACTCAATATTAGGTGGATAGAGATTGAAAAGAAGAAAAAGAAGAAAATGTTCCTACAGGGAATGTATTGTACGATCCATCACATAATGCTCAAAGTGAACCCACTCAGATACAAAGTCACCCAGTTTACAAAAGATTGATATTTGAGCAGGTGCGAAATTCTTTAAAATCATACGACAAAAGACGTATACATTTACATCTTCAAGTAACCGAAAAATTAAACAATAGCGCATGTATGAACAATTGCTGGTAACGAATAAAGATATAAATAAAAACAAAAAGCAATATATAGCAAATTTTTTTGAATTACGTCGCAACAAATTCGTATTTCATTTACAAAATGAACTTACTATTATTGGCCATAGAGTGCTATGCATCGTGCTAATTTTATCACGAACACTTTTTGGTATACTTTCTTTGGGTTAAGCAAGATATACCAAGTCAACCAAATTGCTTATGAAGGTATAATCACAGCATGACAAATAATAAAACAAGACCAAATCTCGCATCGTTTTCGAAATTTTAAATTTTAACTGCCGTCGAGAGTGAGTAGAAGATTGATGTAATGCTTTCCAATATCATTTGAATAAGGGACTCACCACATTTATTCACGTTGAGCCGGACAGAAAAACTTGGCCATTGTCCATACAATTAGAAACGAAAAAAACGTTGCGCGTTACGCTTCCGCTCGGATCGCCGACGCAAAGCGCACAACGTCATTTTAGCTCTTATTATACGAGGGTCATGCCAAAAGAACTTAGATACTCTTTAATCTCTTATTTGATACTGGCAAGTTATACACCGTCGTAAAGGCAGGTTATTTGCTAATAAATTTGAAAATGGAACACGTTTTAAATAGAATTCTTATTTATTTATTTTTCGGAGACAATCTAGCGTGAATTTTGTTCGCAACAATGGAGCTCTGTCGACGTGATTTAAATGTTATGATTTATTATGACTACAAAAAAGGTTTAAATCCGCAAGAATGTTTTGAACTTGTAGCCACAACTTTTGGTGATAGTGCTTGTTCATGAGCTACAGTTTTGAATTGGTTTGCTGAATTTAAAAGGGAAGGGAAGCTTTGAAGATAAGGCGAAGTCAGGTCGGCCAGCAACCGCAGTTAAATCAAGAAAATGTTGAAGCTGTCGAAAAAGTAATTCGTGTAAACCGACGAACTACATATGTAGAGCTTGAGCGAGAACTGGGCATTAGATCAGCAGCATTGCAAACTATTATTCACGGACAACTGTCTCTCCATAAGCGTTGTTCGAGATGGGTTCCGCACAAACTTAACGATGAGCAGAGAGAACGTCCCTCGCGTGGATTGGTGCAAATTCATGATAGATAAATTCGACGCTGGCGAGAGAAAAAACTTTTATGATTTACTGACAGGTGACGAAACATGGTTATATAACTGTGATCCTGAAACTAAGCTACAGTCCACTATGTATGGTGCTTTGG